TTAAGTGGACTTGCATGAATCTATTAAAGCGTTATTCTATCTTCCATGAATTTGTGTTACTCAAATGTCTATAATATGTTCAAGTTGCACGAATGGATACCTGGTATATGCGTACATTTTTCTGTTAGTTGCAATCATTTGGATTTCTTGGTTGATCATTTTTTTTGAGGCTGATAAGGACTTAGCATAAATTTGGACTTATTAATACATATAAGATGGTTGTTGGATGCATCTTTTTGTGTAACAGTGATGAATGCTTTCGTGCTTAATTGTACCTTTCATTGAAGTAATATGCATTCATTGACTAAGTAAGGCTATTCCCAAAGGCATATTTTCAAAAGTATGATTAAGTATTGATTTGCAAATTTAGTAACAATGTTGCATATCAATGGGAGCTTGAGTTTTCGTATTAGTAATGCCTTACATTTGCAGATGACCTATAAGGTATGTATAGAATCCATGTATTCAATTTAATCTTCATTTGGATTCATTAAGTCACATTTTTCGTGTGCTAGTCATTTTATTTGATGAAATATATATCGGATATCAAGTTGTTATCAAATTGCATATTAAATGGCATGGCATGGTTTATGCACTGCCTTAACTGTGAGGATTTCCATCTTGCCCGCAGGTGTTGGAAATCACTATGAAAGTAACTGGTATGGTGCACAGATCAGTGTCAAAAACATATTAATTCATCTTGCTCACAAGTGTTGAATTGATTTGTTTTATGAAGTTTTTGGGATATTTTATTTGGACATGTGCCAATTTGGTATTTTCAGTCATGTCTATTGGCTACAAACATTGTTTGTATTGTTACTGATCTAATGAAAGTAATGCATGATTGTTTTGGAGATGTATTCACACCTGCAGGTTATTGTCGTTTCATTATATGAAGGATATTTGCATTGGCAGACTAAAGGCTTTGAAGAAGCATAAAGTGTAACTTGTGAGTTACAATAAGGTAGACCTGAGATGATATAAAGTAAGACATTTTGGTTAATTTAAAGTTTAATTTAAAGTTTGATCCCTTGATCATTATTTGTGTTTCATGTAAATGTGGATCTTAGCATGAGTGATTATGAAGGTTTTGGGTTGTGTTAACCCTACAACCTTGTTAGTTCCATGTTAAGAAATGCATTTGACAGAAATTGCATTAAGGACGAGATGTAATCACTGTACATGGCCACTAAAGTGACATTAGTCTCCAATCTCAAGTATAAACCTGAATATTACATTATGTAGACCAAGTGGGAGAATGTTGGATTTATCCAATATAAATCAACCTGTAATAGGAATGTAATTTGGAGAATAATGTTAATTGTGATTTGATCTCTTAAAGATATCAATCCTATACCGGGAACACATTCACTACTGGGCATTGACATCATAAGGTGTCTTATATTAGAAATATGATTGATGGAATCCTTAATTGAATATGATTATGATACTTGACTTGGAGGCTAAGAAAGTAAAGTTTAGGTTTCCTTTATGGATTTACCCTAACTTTTAGCCTATATATAAACACCGGGCCCTATAAGCCCTAGAACACAACATAATGCTTCCTATAGAATAGTTGTATTTGGCTAGAAGTTTATAGAAGTTCTTGGTGTTGCCGTGCCCTTCCTGTTTTCGTGTTCGACTTCCATGGCCATCGTTGGAATCAGGTCAATCACTCATTCGATTGTGTTTTAATTGTATAACCTTATAAGGCTAACAGTATGCCCTACTTTTAGCAAGAAAACCCAAAAATTGACAAAGTAATGCAATTTGGTTGTTATTCCCATGGCTAATTGTTCTTCACAGTCCCCACACACCTGTTTCTTGTGAAGGAATGCTGCGAACTCGTTAATTAAGCTTGTTGGATTAGCAATGAAGTTCGACAAGTTCGACATTCCTTTTATAGATGAAGCAGTAGCATGATTCGCCTTGTGTGAAGAATTGTGAAAGACTTCTGGAGAACGCTGATAGGATTTTTACTACTTATGTGAACGGGCTTAAATCTCCTATTTTACTTGCAAGAATCACAAGGTTATTGTAGTATAAACGGATTTCGCAAGGTCATCTCCACAGGGATTATTAAATAATTCAAACTAATCAGATTCCATTTAATTATTGTAAAGTAGAAATTGAAGTGATTGAGTTTATAACCTAATTAAAATAAAAACGAATTTAATGAATTAAAATAAACAATCTGCAATATTAGGACTAGAGAGAAGAAAACAGTTCTGAGAAAATCAAATTTAGAAAGCACTAGGGTTCCACCATCACCTAGCAATCCTATGAATTTTTACCCATTACTTATGATCTATACATGCTACTTTGAAGGTTAGATTTTCCTAATTCATATTCTACTTGGAACCTCCAACATAGAACGTATCTCTAACATGCAACCCGTCCGGACGTTCGGATCAAATCTAAACATGAAAGACTCATTATGCTTTATGAAAATCCTTTGAAAAACCATGCAATCCTTAAGACGTGATATTCATCCTAAGAGAAATTACAATTATTAATCACAAGAAGCCAACGTCAATTTCAGGGAACCTTCCGACCAAAATTGCATCAAATTACTTTTCTAAAGATCCTAATGGTGATCAGGCATTACGACAATCAGATAGTTTTTATCCCGGTGATTAGCAATTCAAAGTACGCATGCAATCAATCATAAGAAATTAAATAAAAATCACATATTCATGCTAAGGCTCAAGGCTTCGCCCTAGCAATAGAAATTAGTTCCGCATATTCATAATTGAAATCATAGAAAATATTATTAAGAAAAGGATTGAAAACACTTTCAAGTAGAAAATCTTCAAAACCCTAGCACTTCTCTCTGTCTCCAATATTGCATAAAATAAAGCGTCCTCTAAAACTGTAGACGGCCAAGCAATATATTTGCTAAGCCACCACACAAACCCTAGCAAACTAAAATTAATAAAAACCCTAAATTAAAATAGTAAAAATTCGTCCAAAATCTGAACAGCCACGTTTTGGCCCATAAGCTGCTCCAAAACTGGCCCAATATAGCTGGATTGAATGTTTGGAATATTCTGAACACTTTTTCAGAAGGCCATGAACCCATCCGATGTCATCTTGGGCTCTAAAAACGCAATTTAAGCCCAAAAACGTCATTTTCCAGCACTGCGCACTGCTTCTTTATTTCATCGTCAGAAAATAACCGCTAGATGGAAAAATCCCAAATTTTGATACGATCAAACTAAGTGACTTACGTACGTCCTCCAACTGGAATTACTCCAAAATTCGTCCATTTGGTCCTGTTTTGCTCCAGAGGAAGTCGAAAGTCCTATATTGAAAATACAATTCAAAGTATCAAAATTCTTCCAATATATTAACCAAAATATACTAAGATTAGGGTAAAATATATAATATAAAATCTACTCATCAAATACCCCCAAACTTAGCTTTTTGCTTGTCCTCAAGCAAAACAAGACTCAAACGAAAATAAAAACTTAACAAACTAGACAACTAGCTAAAATTAACTAAGACAAAACTTCCACCTTCAAGTTGCAATCCATAGCAAATTTTAAAAACTAGAACATCTTTTCAAAAGTTCCAACTAATCCCACCACAGAGTCTAAACCATTTAGAATCAATTAGAAAAGAATTCACAAACTTCCTTTGGTGTAAAGTGAACCAACATAATTAAGGAGACTCGACTAAAACCCTTACCTCTCATCCTTATTTATTTCACACATAATAACTTTAAATATAACTCTCTTTCTTTTTTTTTTTTTTTTCACTTTTTTTTTTTTTCAGTAACAGTAGTGGTCGTGCAATGTCGGTTCACTTACGCTTTCGATCCAACCCATGTAGCGAGCTTTAGGTCAATGACTCCCAAACCACTCGGGCTTTAGGGCACTAGGTGTAGAACACCCCTAAGGACTTATTAACCCGAGCTGAAAAGGCTACGAAACCAACTAACCACCCTGCCCCATGCCAAAACTCTACCGTTTGACGCGAGAATCACTGCTGATTAGGCAGGACTGGCCCGGTTACTAGGCAAAACCTCGGGTGAGACAATTATTACTTTATTCACAATAATAACTGACTTTACTTAAAACAAAAATTAAAAATTAAAAATAACTTAGACTAAAAGCAAGTGTTTCAATCTCACTCCCCACAAACCATGTTGGTGTGATGTGCAAAGTTCAAAGTATAATTCATGAATTAGTGTCTAAGCAACGATAAATAGAAAAGACGCTAATGTGGGATTAACTTTCACCATGTCCATTTGTTCTAATGTTTAAAATAATCTATGGATCTTAACTTAACAAGAATGAAAATTTTTAAACGGACACAATAATAATAAAAAAAAACTAAAATTTACTTTCCCACCCCCAAACTTATTTCACACTTTGTCCTCAAGGTGTAGAAACAAGAAGAAAACTAAAAGAACAAAAGAATAAAACACAAAAACTCTAGTGGACACTTTAAAAAAAAACGACACACTATAAGAGAAAATAATAAAAAAAAATAATAAAATAATAAAAAATAAAATAAAATAAAATAGAATAAAATAACAATCAAAACAAAAATCAAAGAAAGAAGAACACCTGGCATGTACGCAGTCCACACGCAAAGGAACATTGGATTCCTTTCTTGTAAAGGCATGCAATTGGCATGCCGTGGGAAAAGTGGCGCACAACTGGCAATCAGTCTGCTGTCTCTTGCTTGGATTCCCGTGAGAAGGGAGGGCAACAAAAAAAAAATCAGCACGGGCCACTTGCTGCACGCCCTTTTGAAATAAATATTGGATGCCCTGTAAAAAGAAATGGCATGCAGCCGGCATGCAAGTGGACAGTGGCGTGCAGATTTGTTTCTGTCTCTGTCAGAGCCCAAACGGCTCTCTCCCTTCTTAATTCAAACCGAGTCAATTTAGTAGACATGTGAATACTCCAGCTTTGAACACGTGGCAAGCATCACGGCATGGAGCTCCATAGGATTCCAAATTAAGGGTGAAGATCAATCCAAGATGCCCATCGTCCTCTCTCTAGAAAATCTGAAAAGGTTTTTTATCTCTCTATTTTCTTCTCTCATTTCCCCATATCTCTGCTCTCTCTCCTTCATTACTCCAAAAAAATGCAAAAACCTTCTCCCTTCCATTTAGTTTCTTTTTCGCATTTCTCTCGGATCCCATGTCTGCTCTCTCTTAATTTCCTCTCAGACCCCATCCATGGTGGAGCAACACAGGCATGTCTGATTCCTCTATAATAGTGCTCTGGTCCGCAACACTGAGACCCAAACGAGCAGATCTAAAACAGTTCGTCCAAAAATCCTCCCTTTGCAGGTAAAAACGAAGCCATGCCATTTCTCCTTTTGTTCGTTCAAATGTAAAGATGTAGCTCCATTTCTGCTAATTTCATCACCAAGAGTACAATGAAAATGTTTGTGACTGATGCATTTGATTGTTCTATGTATGTATCAGTTTCCTCGCAGATTGATGCATCCGTAGCCTTCCATAACCCCACAACAATGCACCTCCATGAGTACCCCGCCGTTGTGGAAAATCAGAAAAACGGAAACCCAAAGGTAAAATCATCCTCCAATCTTGTGGTTTCATTGTCCAATTTATTTGTTGGAGAGATCTGGAACAAACACTAACACCTGCATGTGGTTTTATCAGTGTGGAGAGCCCTAATGGTTTCAAATCCGAGACAACAACACAAGAACACACCCTGAGTCAGCAGCTCAGCTCAACCAAGGATCTGCAAATGTTGAGGTAAAACCCGTAACCCTTTTTATTGATGGACTATGATCTAATACTTGAAAAATAACCCCTACTGTGACTGAAAAATAACACTCAAATCCAGCATACGCCCGTGAGAAAACAAGCTTAAGCGTCCGGTCTAATAGTCTCAGAAAGCAAAATCAACAGCAACTGTCGCGGCCTCTGTATGTCATGAAGGTAAAGATCTCGTTCGTCTGCTTTTGCTAAGCTCAACATTTACAAGTTCAACAACAGTTCATTAGAATGCCATATGTAACCTGTATGTACTCATATTGTTGGTCTTTATGTAGGGGTATACGGATCCATGATAGAGCCAAGGAGACAGAAGTAAACACACAAGAGCAACGGAGGAAAACAGCACAGGCCGCATGACCCAAATCGATGCATCTGGGAGGTAAAATTCGAATCCCTGCAAGTGTAGTTGTTGTAGATCTGGTAATAATAGCTGTACTCAGTTCTGTGGTGTATGGATCTGTGATTTAATTGTGCTTCCTCCATGCATCGCAAAACTGAGCTGCAGAAAATTAACTGCTCTAAATTCTGTTTGTGTGCTGGATCTGCAACAATCACCCCCAAACTTGCATCTGTGAATGGCTTTTTATGTTGATTGCTTTAAATTTCCAACATAGTGTACGTTAGACTTGCTGCTGGGTGCAGGATTCCAGCATAGGACGTGCTTTATTTTCCACGTTCGCAACCTGGGATTAACCAATATGCGTTAAAAAAAAAAATCAAATAAACTGGGTAAATAAAATCAACCTGCAATCTTCCATTTTTGTTTTTGAAATTTTTGTTTTTTGTTTTTTTATACTAAAGAGAAAATCAAACGAAAATTAAAATTAGGAAAGAGTTTAGAAAAAATTGGGTTGCCTCCCAATAAGCGCTTTATTTTAAGTCTGTAGCTAGACGTTGCGGAAGTCCGGTGGCTAGATCATTGGTTCCTTAAAAGTTGATGACTTGCCTACACCAAATTTCTCTATGCATGGTTTTAGTTGATGTTTGGTCACCTTCAACGAGAAATCTGTGCCCTTAGCCTTAATGTCCACATTACCATTCTGAAAAACTTTAGTAACCAGAAAAGGGCCTTTCCATCGAGACTCTTGTTTCCCTGGAAATGACTTGAAATCTGAACTTAATAACCACACTTTTTTACCAGGCTGTATTTTCTTAAAATTTGGGCTGTTTGGCAAATTTTCATGTTTTTTCATAGTGTTAATTGGCTGGTCTTCATGAATCACCCTTTGCTGCTGTGGTTTAGGACTTGTACAATCACGAGTTAAATTGGGGGGCTTTATGGACAGATGGTCAGTTGATGATCTGTTCATAAACTTGGCACTTGGTAAACCATCCAATGCATCAACACGCATGCATTCTTGCTTGTCACCTGAATGTATGCTTGCTTCAAACAACTTGAAAACAACAGTTTGATCTTCAACTCAGAATGTTAATGTTCCTGCTTCAACGTCAATAAGAGTTCGGGCTGTTGCCAGAAATGGGCGGCCCAAAATAATGGGCGTTGTCAAATCCTCATCCATGTCCAACACCATAAAATCAGCCGGTAAATACAAATTGTCAACCTTCACAATAACATCTTCAATGACTCCTCTAGGGTAGGTAATTGAACGGTCAGCCAATTGAATAATACTGGAGGTTGGCTTCAGCTCACCTTCACCTAAACGTTTGAAAACAGAATATGGCATTAAGTTTACACTAGCACCTAAATCAATTAAAGCACTACTAAAATCACAATTTCCAATGGTGCAAGAGATAGTAAAACTCCCTGGATCTTTTTTCTTTGGAGGCAGTTTATGTAATAAGATCGCACTGCATTGTTCTGTAAGAGTCACTTTTTCAAAATCAACAAGCTTCTTTTTCTTTGTGCAAACATCCTTCAAACATTTGGCATAAGATGGAATGTTCTTGATTGCATCAATTAACGGTAGATTAATTTGAACTTTAGCCAAAGTTTTCATAAAATCTGTTAACTGTTGATCTTTAGCTTTAGGTCTCAACCTTTCTGGATATGGCATAGGGGGCTCGTAAACACGTTCTGCAGTTTTTGTGGAAGCTTCTGCAGTATTTTCGGATCTGTCTTGGGACTGCCCAGAATCTGCAGAAATTTTAGAATCTGCAAAAATTGCAGATTTAGTTTGGGGTAGTTCTGCTGCCTGCGAATTCCCAACAGCATTTTCATGTCTGTTGTTGTAACTTTTGCCAGACCGTAGGGTTCGTATAGCATTGCATTCTTTTCGTCCTCTTGGATTAGGTACTGTTTGACTAGGAAATGTACCCGGAGCTCTTTCTGAAACCTGTAAAGCAATCCGCCCCATTTGTTTTTCCATGTTTTTCACTGCTGCATGTAGATTTTGAATTTCTTGAGTGGTAGTATTTGCCAATTTTTCAATTGCAACCTCCCAAGCAGCCTTAGGTGCAGCAGGTTGCTGTACCTGCTGTTGAAATTGAGGCCTAGTGTGCTGTTCCTTATCCCACCTTAAATTAGGATGATCTCTCCAACCTGGGTTGTAGAAATTAGAATACGAGTCATATCGGGGACGCTGGAAATTGTTAAATGAATTAACCTGCTCTGCTGTAAACTCCGGATAAGCATCTTTATGTGGACAGCTCAAAAAATCATGATTTGTCAAGCTGCAAATGCTGCAGGCAGCTTGTAAAGGCTACTGTACAGTAACCTGTGAACCCGAAATTCTTTGTAATAACATGTCAAATTTTGCATCAAATCTTTCAAGCTTTTTCTCCATTTTTTCAATTTGTGCCGACACGTATGCTGAACCATTTGACATCTAAAAAACAGACCTAGATTGTGGCTGCTCAACTGCCCATTGCTGAGTATCTGCTGCCATTTTTTCAAATAACAAACAAGCCTTTTGTGCATTTTTATCTTTGTACGAACCTCCGCATGAAGCATTGATAAGAGTTTTTGTCGTCATATTCAACCCTCTGAAAAATATATGCATTTGATCAGTAGTGTTAATACCCGAATGTGGACATTTTCTAATCAACTCCTTAAACCGCTCCCATGCCTCATGAAACTCCTAATTCGATTTTTGGGCAAAAGATAAAATCTGAATTCTCATGTCAAGGGTCTTAGAAGCCGGGTAATACTTGTTTAAAAATTTTTCACTAAGTTGGGCCCAAGTTGTAATGCTTCCAGATGGGAGTGTGAGGAGCCATCTCCTTGCTTGATCTTTTAGTGTGTATGGAAACAACTGCAGCTTAATAGATTCGGCTGAAAATCACCTCACCAAAATGTTTTTGCACCCCATTAAAAATTCTGCAATGTGCATGTTAGGATCATCAGATGATAACCCATGAAACGTAGGTAGAATATTCAACATGTGCTGTTTTATTTCAAATGCAGTCCCTTCCTCCTCTGCCGGATAAGTAATGCAACTTGGTATATTTGTTGTATGGGCTGTCAGTGAATCACCCAGAGGCAGACCTGCCTCTGGAATTACAAACGCCATTTTTTCTTTGTTGTGCAGGTCCCCAGTAAAGACTGTTTGAGGACGAACCCGCTGCAAATTCTGCTCTCTGCGTCTCCTCCTTAAATTCTGCTCAAGTTCTAGATCAAATGGAATCAATTTCTGCACTGTTGAACGGGTGCTGACCATGCACATATATCTGAAATCTGCATTGATGTACTGTTGTAATCTGCAAAAATAAAATAAAATAAAAACGAAAATTAAATTTTTTATTTTTTTTATATGTATAAACAGTAATAACTAATTGAAAATCTGATTCGTAGGGATTATTTTAAATAATCCCCGGCAACGGCGCCATTTTCTTGATAGGATTTTTACTACTTATGTGAACGGGCTTAAATCTCCTATTTTACTTGCAAGAATCACAAGGTTATTGTAGTATAAACGGATTTCGCAAGGTCATCTTCACAGGGATTATTAAATAATTCAAACTAATCAGATTCCATTTAATTATTGTAAAGTAGAAATTGAAGTGATTGAGTTTATAACCTAATTAAAATAAAAACGAATTTAATGAATTAAAATAAACAATCTGCAATATTAGGACTAGAGAGAAGAAAACAGTTCTGAGAAAATCAAATTAAGAAAGCACTAGGGTTCCACCATCACCTAGCAATCCTATGAATTTTTACCCATTACTTATGATCTATACATGCTACTTTGAAGGTTAGATTTTCCTAATTCATATTCTACTTGGAACCTCCAACATAGAACGTATATCTAACATGCAACCCGTCCGGACATTCGGATCAAATCTAAACATGAAAGACTCATTATGCTTTATGAAAATCCTTTGAAAAACCATGCAATCCTTAAGACGTGATATTCATCCTAAGAGAAATTACAATTATTAATCACAAGAAGCCAGCGTCAATTTCAGGGAACCTTCCGACCAAAATTGCATCAAATTACTTTTCTAAAGATCGTAATGGTGATCAGGCATTACGACAATTAGATAGTTTTTATCCCGGTGATTAGCAATTCAAAGTACGCATGCAATCAATCATAAGAAATTAAATAAAAATCACATATTCATGCTAAGGCTCAAGGCTTCGCCCTAGCAATAGAAATTAGTTCCGCATATTCATAATTGAAATCATAGAAAATATTATTAAGAAAAGGATTGAAAACACTTTCAAGTAGAAAATCTTCAAAACCCTAGCACTTCTCTCTGTCTCCAATATTGCATAAAATAAAGCGTCCTCTAAAACTGTAGACGGCCAAGCAATATATTTGCTAAGCCACCACACAAACCCTAGCAAACTAAAATTAATAAAAACCCTAAATTAAAATAGTAAAAATTCGTCCAAAATCTGAACAGCCACGTTTTGGCCCATAAGCTGCTCCAAAACTGGCCCAATATAGCTGGATTGAATGTTTGGAATATTCTGAACACTTTTTCAGAAGGCCATGAACCCATCCGATGTCATCTTGGGCTCTAAAAACACAATTTAAGCCCAAAAACGTCATTTTCCAGCACTGCGCACTGCTTCTTTATTTCATCGCCATAAACGTCATTTTCCAGCACTGCGCACTGCGCACTGCTTTCATCGCCATAAAATAACCGCTTGATGGAAAAATCCCAAATTTTGATATGATCAAACTAAGTGACTCACGTACGTCCTCCAACTGGAATTACTCCAAAATTCGTCCATTTGGTCCTGTTTTGCTCCAGAGGAAGTCGAAAGTCCTATATTGAAAATACAATTCAATGTATCAAAATTCTTCCAATATATTAACCAAAATATACTAAGATTAGGGTAAAATATATAATATAAAATCTACTCATCAAACGCTTGTGACCTTTCGAGAACTTTGGCTTCAATTTTAGGTAAAGGATCCAACACCTATCCCTAGAGGATCTAACGCCTATCCCTAGAATGCCCAACACCATTGCAATAGATACACTTCAGATCTGATCTTTTTCCTTTGTAATGTTATTCAAACCCATTCAACATGTGGGCCTTATTTTCACACAAACAAATAAAAGTACGATGTTGTTTTTTATAAAACTATATTTATTTAGGTGGGATGTTAGGTGGCACGTTGGTATTGGGCAACAACTAAAAACAGAGGCCTTGTGTCTTTCTTTTCTCAACCATGCTCATACATACTGAGCCTCCAGCGCCTGCCCAGGCTCTTCAGGTGCCCGCCCATTCTCTTCCTTGATTTGCTTCTCGATTTGGACCGAATCAGGGCGGATGACCACAATGTAGCGCCTAGGCGGCCGCCTAGGCCGATTTTTAGAACAGTGCTTCAAATGGCTTGAAAATTAGGACTCAAACTTCCCTATAGTTGAGCTTTTTTTTTTATCCATATTAGCCCTCTTTAACAACACTGTGGCATCTGTGGTATGAAGTTAATAAACATTTAACTCATTGCACAGTTATCAGAATGGCAAAGTGTTGTACAAAAGGCTTTCATTGTGGTTGTAGACCAGCAATATCTCATTTGAGTTGAAAAACTCGAGTTAAGTTATCTAGTTTTCATGCATCTTTTTGATATTCTTCTAAAGATGCATAGATGATTCAGCATAGCTAAAAATCTCGATAGTCTTCCACTCCTGTTAGTTGACAGCCACGACATGACCAACTAGTCCTTGCACAGCCCAGCCTCATAGGTTAGTGAGGTGAGCTCTGACATTTGTATAGCTCCATTAACATAGCCAAGTTTAGATCTTCCTCATCACAATTCTTTCCAGGGAAGGTAATTGAACGCGTTCAGCAGAACAAAACTAAGGCGTTGATTGGGGTTTACATCAACGTCAAAAGTAGCAATTGAGCTTTCTGCCTCCAGATTAATTGAATACTTTTCAGCCATTGTTGAGAATTGAAACAATCTCATAACGCATAAAAATATGCACAGACTGGCCTGTTAGGGTCACTGATCTAATATCATGTGAAAATTTAGAAGTTTATGTAGATTAATCATGAAAAACATTGTACAAGAGACATAACGTATATATGTGCAAGGAGAGAAGGAACATACTCCTAACCCTTATTGAATTACGCCTAATCTACTTAGTTCATCCCTTAGTTAAGGGATTGATTACAAACTTTTAGAGAGATTTGGAGAAATTGGGGGTTTAAAGAAACGTGAGTGATGTTGATGACGTGGCGGAATCTGGAGCTTTAAATCAACTTGGTATGAAATGAATGGCTGAGAAAGTAGGAGGACATAGAAGGGGATGGAAAAAGGAAGCAAGACAATCTTGATCCGGATAAAATGCCCTAACTATAATTTACTTTCAATACTATTAGGGTGCGTTTGTTGCACCGGACTATCTTGAACTGGACTAGCTTCATAGACTAAGCTGAATTAGCTTGTCTTGGACTAAGCAAAACAAGAATAGTGAAGTGTTTGGTGCAGTACCGGACTAAACTATGGACTAAATTTTTTTCAAGTCCAACAATGTTTTTTTTAATTTTTAATTCATTTTTTAATTTTAAAAATAATAAACTAAATATTATATTATAAAATATCATCTGCCATTATGTTTTAGAAAGAGGTCGCACTTGGTGCGATGGCAAGTGCCTTCGCCCATGAGCGGTAGGTCTCGGGTTCGAGACTTGGGAGTAGCCTCTCCATAAATGGGGGTAAGGCTAGCCGACATTCACCTCTCCCAGACCCTGCGTAAAGTGGGAGCCTTGTGCATTGGGTACGACCTTTTTATTATGTTTTAGAAGATAATGGATTACTCTGGAAGCAGCTACTTCCCTTTTTCTCTCTCTCAGTACAATTGCTTCCTTTTTCCCCTCTCTCACGACTTTGCAGACAACACAACTCACCCTCTTCACTGTCTCTCACATCTTCACTTCCTCTTTCTC